TCTCCTTAACCGCGATTTTGACGGCTCAATCTGGGGTAAAAACACGAAAAAATCGAGCATGTTTCGCGTTGGCGAATCGAGGAAGAAGAAAAGAAAAATAATAATAATAATAAAAAAGGAAACTTTGGATCGCGTGCACGCGCGCGACCGGTTCAAATAATCGAGATTCCACGGTGATTAATTCAAGCCGGAAGACGCGCGTTCCATCGAGGTTCGAGAGCAGCGGAGAACCGTTGTCGGCTGCCTGGACGAACGTCTTCATCGCGTAAGCGCAGCCGATGGTGACCCGGTAGAGAGGGTATCAAAGGGGAAGGGATTAAAGGAAGAGGGAAAAAGAGGAAAGGGAGAGTGGAAGAAGGGAACATCAGGTCGGAATTAGAAGTCTCTATGCGGCCGTCCACAGTTCTTGTTAACATATTTTTCGTCCCCGCCGCCGGCAGAGGAACAACTCACTCGCGCGGCTCCGGAGATGGTGTGCACGCGAGTCCCGGTCACGCACGGTCACGCACTCGGTCGATATGTAGCCCATACATCAAGCTACGCTCGACAGGTGTGTGCGTATTTACTTGTACTTGCGTGGCCATGTGTGATGGTATGTGAAAGAGGACCGCGAAAACTAATTTCCGTCGAGAGGATTGGAGCATAGGATCGCGGCGCTGCGATCGCGGACGCCCACGGTTGTTGATAGTAGTGTGTATATACCTCGTGAGAAATCTCGCAGGATAGTACGAGGACATTTCTATTTTTGCGAAAGTATCGTTTTATTATTAGAAATTGAAATATTTTTACTATAAGAATTATTCACATCGTGCACGCGACGTGCATTATTTCTCAATATTACGTTTATTTAGTCAATCAATATTTGTTCCAATATTCATAATTTGTGAAGTCATAATACTTTTCGATCAAATGATTCATGAATATTCGAATATTTGCAACGAATCTAATCTAACTATTTATGTACTATTTCATGTGTCGTGTCTAGTTGTTTATTTTTATCGTAAAACTCAGTTCGATATACACACTTATCTATAACAGATTTTATTCAACCTAATAAATATTTATGATTTATAAAATATTAGCGAGTTGTTTAATTTAATAATATATCTATATTCGACATTGTGCATGACGTGTGCAACTTGATCCATAACAACTTGCGTTAATTAACGCGTATAAAAAAAGTGAGGTTATAAAATTCGGCTTGTGCAAACTTAACGAAAAATTAATCGAGCACGTCCAATTAATTAACCTGAACAAAAATTCCTTTGAACTTTTTTTCTTCTCTCGTCATCTCATAATAATATTCATCTTTCTTTTATCGCACGACGACCATACATGAAAGTATTTCGAGATCGTTGGTACTGCTTGCGAAAATTGCTATGGCTGCACAGAACCGTGAAATTCCGTTCAATCTGCGCTGTGACTAACGCTAGCTCGATTAATATAAGTTGTTGCATGTTACGACCGTCTAATTGCATTCAGAAGATCGGTGTAACCTGTTCACATTGCAATTCTCGTTTGTCTGACTCAGCGATCACGATGCTTACTTTGATTCTTATTGGAGATAAGTTTCTCTAATGCAAGTGTCGCTTTTTTCGAACAGTATCCCTTTTAGTTGCGAAAAAGATACGTTGCATGTTATGGAGATAGAGGTTATATAGTATAGAATATATAAGACTTCAATATTTATGGTATGCAGTTAATAATAATGAGATTGAAATATTATTATAATAATTTCTTATGTATGCATCTTTTGTTAAAATTTCATAAAAATTTATATATTTTTAAAATGCATTATTTCAACTTCTCTATTGAAAATAAATAATCGATATTAATTCGCGATAGATTTAACGATATTCCTTTCGAATCTTAACGCTTCAATATAGTCTCGATAATCCTGTCAGGATTTATGAATTTCTGCACGCATAAATATGTTAAAGCAAAAGCAATATGATATAAGGTTAACTAGAATCGAGTGAAAATTCGAATGAGCTATGATATCACTAGAAATTCGAATGTCGTTTGTAAATGTATGCAAGACTTGCAATGATGAAGATTTGAATTATGATTTGACAACTGATCTTTCAACTATATATTCGCTGTTAGAAGTTTGTTCTCATCATACTTCTCAAGAAATCGTATTATATTTAAAAAATTAACAACAAAAAATTTGTTAATAATAATAATCAATAATGAATATTATAAGTAAGCAAATGATTGAAAATTTTCGAAAATATAACCAGTAATGTTAATTAAACTTGCAAACAGAGATTAATTTAATAAATTTATTTCTAAAGACGCGTTTTGATTTTCCTAATAAATAAGGCGATAGTCTTAGAAATTCATTTTTGTTACTCGAAACAGATGGTCATAATAACATATAAATTTTGTCATATACATTTAATTTGTAAATTATGCGCATTTTTCTATGAAATACATTTTTATAATACAGCAATTAGAAACATTGTTAATGCGTGTGTGGTCAATAATATAGCTATAAAGGATAAACATCAAGTTGGAATTTAACTTTCTAAGCATTGGATTTTAACATTTAAATAAATATAGCGAGTAATAGACGAAGTAAATTGATTTGAATTAATGTCTGAAATTCTCGAATAGTTATGTTGCAAATATTTATAACAGAACATAATATTCTTAATTATCACAAAAAAATATGGAGAATTATGAAAGAAAAATGATCCGTATAGTCACTTCGCAATGAAAATAAAAATTATAGAGAAAAATTAAAAACAAGTGACAAAAAAATTATTAACAAAAAGAAAACATCAAAAAAAGTAAAAGAAAACATAAGGTAATCCACATCAAAAGGAAACGTCATAAAGGAATATAAAACACACTAATGTATCCACAAACAGTACCTTATCCAATCAAAGTGAAAACAAACCAACTGGTCGAACTGAAACACATTGAAACGTTCAGATTGGTCTACATTTCCGTTTCATACCGTTACTTCCGACATTTTGCTACATTTTCCACGCGGATTCCTCTCGATGGTGGTGTACGTCAAAGCGGACACTTTACGAACCTTGCCGTGCTGAAATAAGAAGAT